GTGACCAAATACTTCCAATGTGATTTGCCCCATTCTTGATTCTTATAGACTGTCTCCTTATATCACATTCTTTGAAACCCAACCCACCTGCACTCAAGTCCTCTTCTTTATAATTAAGTGCCCTCTGAACATTACTTAGTTTGGAAAGACTGGATAATTTTTTGTATTAAGCAGATTATAACATACGAAGCAAAAAAAAAAAAAGACTCAAAGAAAGCCAATGATTTTATTTTTACAAATTTTAAGGAAAGGTATCTTGGCGGAGATGGTATAAACTAATGGTTATAAGTGAGGACTCTGGAGTCCAACAAAATGGGTCCAGTTCACCTCTGCCACTTTCTAGTTATGTAAACATGACCAAGTCATTCAACTTCTCTAAACTTCATTTTCGTCCTCTAGAAAAAGGATAGAATGACAATAGTATCACCTCACAGGACTAAATAGTATATCATAAAGTTCTCAAAAAATGGCAACTGCCATTATTAATACCTAAGTGTGAATGTCAGACTGTGAAGGCCAGCTATCACATAGATTATTTATCTTTCATTCAAATGGCACTTGTGGGGTACCTAGTCACAGGTACTTTATGCAGAAGGCACGGATTATTCATGCATTTAATTTCAGGAGCCAAGATGACTGGAGAAGTAACTGATGAAGACCTACAAAGGAAGGAAACAGTGTTTTTTTTTTTTTTTCTTTGAATTTTCTTCTTCTTCTTCTTTTTTTCTCAGTCATTCTTTCCTCTAGGGTTAGCCATCATTCCAAGAAGGACTAATTTAGAGAATTATTCATCTCAGATAATATTCATTATGCAACCAGCTCTGCTGGCACTGTACTTCCAGAATGGAAGAGAATTTGATGTCCAACACCTCCTGATCCTGTATTACGTGCTACTATGTATGCTGATGCTGAATGAGATAAGATAGAAGAGGTTCCGTGGGAGAAAAAGAAAAATAGTTTGGGAGAGCAGGAGGGCTTCTCTTTACCTGGCTTAAGAACAGAAAAAATTTGTAAGACAGAGAAAGTCTCCAAGTTAATTATGGCTTTCCTGATGAAGTTGAGGCAAATAGCAGAGCAGAGATATTTCTGTTTCTTTTTTCCTGATCATATACCTGGAAGTAACCCCAGTGCAGACTCACGCTTCCTCCAGCATTCCACCAGACTGTCAACCACCAGCACTCTCCGTTAATCACTCTTAGTGTCTTTCGAATTGCCCCATCAACAGAACAACAGATATTGAGAACATGGTGAAAATTTTAAGTCTCAATTTAGAGTTCTAGAATTCTTAGTTTATTAATTCCTTCTGACACGGCCCAGATGTCCCTAGAGTAATTAGTAACAGAAGAGGGTTAATGTAGCTGCCTCATGGTGATCTACATTCATTATGACTGATTACTCACTTACAAAAATTAAGCAAGCCTAATTGAGTTTAAACCCCCCATAATAACGCTAGACTCGCAGCCCATACACTGCTGCACCTGTTTTGTCTTCCTATTTAAGAGGCTATGAGGTACAATATGGTAAGGACTGAGTAGCTTTTATGTATTTTTATCCATTTGATCCAAGCTATATGAAGGCGAGGTTTATAGATAATATGCAAAGTCCATTCTCCTTAGGAAAGGACAAAGGAAGCCAGAGAGGTTAAGCTAATTTAGATATTTTTAGTCCCTCAGATTTCAAGAGTGCTGTGGTTACCAGGCTACCCAAGGTCAGGGCTCAGAGCTGAAGCTATGAATGAATGGAGGGTGCCTTCATTAATTAAATAACTAGATAAATTAGAGGTGTTGTTGGCTAAGAAATTCTGTCAATTATTCCTTTAAAATGTCTTTCCATTGTTCTGTTCTCTCTCTTACCTCTGCAATCAGCCAGATGCTTGTTAGCTCATATTTCAACAACTGGAGTAGCCTCTTAAATGGTCTCAAAGTGTTCAATTTAAATCAACTGGTGATTTTGGAGAACGAAGCATACGGCTAGCCTCAGTGGCTTCTCTGTTAGGCCTTCAATCTTCTCTTCTTTCTGTTCATTCTACACAGTGACCCAGGAAAACCTTCTAAAGGCTAGTTTTCATTGTATCACTTGCCTGCTCAAAAACCTCTAAAGGCTTTCCATTGCCGCAGGAATACAATCTAAATCCTCGTATGCCTTATCCAGTGACTATCCCTCTCAATACAGCTGGAGATGGACCCTCCTGGTTTAGGCACCTCGTCACTGACTCGGACATTGCCACCTCTGAGTCTTTGTCTAGGGTCTTCTTTCCTGAAATGTTCTTCCCTCATTCTCTATAGATGCCTTTCATGCTTTAAGGGTCAGCTCAAGCCTCCACCTTCTCTAATAACCTTTATCAGACTGCACTGAATTACAAGTATCACTCTTGACGGTAATCGGTAATCCTTTGCTACTCTATTTTTTACATAAATAGTTGACTCTTGAATGACACAGGTTTGAACTATGTGGGTCTGCTTATATGCAGAATACCTGTACTGTTTTCGATCTGCAGTTGGGAATCTGAGGATGCAGAGGGCTATAAGCATTGTTCTACATCATTTTACATAGGAGACTTGAGTGAGAATCCTTGGATTTTGGTATCCATGTCAGTCCTGAAACCAAACTCCACAAATATTGAGGAACAACTTAGGTTTTTAGGGAGTTAAAAGTGGATTTTTGACTGTGCAAGGGGTATTGGCACCTCTAATCTCTGTGTTGTTCAAGGGCCCACTGTAAATGTGAATTAGCAATTCTAATTCTAGAAGTCAATTAGGGAAAGCTCAAAGATGCTTATAAAGATAAATGTATGCTGCTGAGGATGTTTGCCATTGTTATGTTTACAATAGAAAGGATGAAAAGCCCGTAAGAGGTCAGGTAAATCCTAATCTACACCAAGCAGCTTACAAAATCATGCTGTGGAATATTCACTAACATGAGAATCAGTTCACAGGATATTGCTGAGTGCACAAAACAGATGATAAAAGACCATGCATAGCAGTATTAGATTTTCGATGGATGGATGGATGGATAGATGGATAGATGGATGGATAGATAGATGGATGGACAATGGTGCTCTCTTAGAGGGAGGCTTATGAAGGCACATTCTCCATTGTGGTTTTCTATGCATTTAAATTTGGGGGCACTGAAGTAAAGTGTTATTAATGTGTTGAATGGTTCATTTAGATAAAAATTTGCTCCTCTGAACTACAAACATCTGACTTGGATGGACACACACATTGACAGAGTACTTTGACACAACCCTATGTTTAAACTGGACTCTAATAAAGCTTGGCACCATGTGGGGGGCATCCTGCTATCCTGGAACAGCATTCATTGAACTAGGAGTTGGAAAACACAAGGTCTGATCATGGCTCTATTGCAGAATCCCTTGCAACCCTGGAAAAGTCACTTAGTTTTCTTGAACTTCAGTTTTTCTACTATAAAATAAGTGAAAATTCTTCCTAACCTCTATCCCCATTCCAACTTATAAAAATGTACAGCGATCAATAGAAACTATAAAAATACCAAAGACACTGTAGAAAGGTAATCAGTATCAGGTAAGATTACTATCAAGGTTGGAGAAACGACCCTCTGAAATCTTTAATGTCTGATACACCACAACCTTAAATCACAAATTCATGTACTAATATGCAGGGAAGTGCAATTTTATGGATGCCCAGTTTAATAGCTGGGTACATTTGTTAAGTAAAGCTTTAAAAATAAAAATATAAAAGTCATTTATGACAACGTTTTTAAGTTTATTCTCCTTGTAAAAGCATTTCCCAAAATACTTTGAAGATTATTGTCGTTGCTTTTTTTTTATTTTTAAGAGGACAGCACAGACACGAATTTTAATAGAAGAAAATGCTGGGCTTCAGATCAAAAATTTAAAGCTTTGACAAACTGATTATGAAAGGAACCACTCTTTATCTTTGCAAAGATTTTGACATTACATCTAATTCACTCAGATGGGTAAATAATCTTGAAGTAGTACTTAAACACCAACGTATCACATTTACAGATACATGCAACTGAAGGCTCTTGGCTTATGATTGGTGGGTGTATATAGAATGCTGCTGGACACAAACACACAAACCCAGGCCGTGACTGCATGTACCAAGACACACACGGAAACACCCACGTATCCCATGGAGCAACCTTGCCAAAGTGGTACATCAGGCTTCAGGTAAAAAGAAAAAACAGAAAAGAGACTATCCCTTGAAGGGAAGGGAGAACTGTACGCCCCCAGAGACTTCTTGACTCACCTGTTAAGTGGTTGGCAATCCTGGCAGTGGGTTTGGGAGGCAGGGCAGGGGGTTGCTTGAGAAGGGACAGCTGCTTCACTGGGGTCTCCTCATGGTCTCCAGAGAAAGCAGCAGGTTTTTTGGGGGGCAGTAGCAGGACTGGTTTGGCTGAAGGATCTTGGGACAGGAGGACTCCAGACTCACTGGCAGAGGGACTCTCTTCAGACACTGAGGGGACAACCACATGACACACAGGAGACATTACACAAATGCAGTGCAGGTGTGGCTGACGGGAGCACACAGGACAGGGATGTGGGTTAGCAACACAGCAGAGCACCGACTGTTCCAGGTTGTCACGTATGTGTGGAGAGTCAAAGAGAAGACATCAGAAATCAAATAAAGCAGGGATTGGGGGAGGCACAGCGAGGAGGCAGAGGCAGAAGAAGGAGAGGTGGAAGGAGTGAGAGGGAGAAAAAGGAAGAGGACATTTTCTCAAAACTATCCAAATCTTCACCACTTCAATCTTGGCCTTTATAAGACAAATTCTATTGGGTGCTCTAAAATGTGACTCATGGGACCACAGCAATAATCAACAGATGGCAGGTGTAGTGGATCAGGGACAAAGAGCCCTCTCTGACCCAAACCAGTGCCAAACACCAGCACTTTCTTTTGGGCCTGTTTGTCCTTGGCTGAGGAGGAAGAGAAGGCAGATTCTTGTCTTTGCCTGCTGAGTCTTCTGTATCTCTGCTCCCAGGGATACCAGGTGATGAAGACAGCCTAGAGGCTGACACCAGGAGGGCTGCCCCATACTCCTGGGGCAGCTGCTCCTCAGGCTCTAGAGCCATTTGAGCTAGGCAGTATCATCTGGTGGGCGCTCTGCAGTTTCAAGGGCACCTTCCTGCCCCTGCAGCTCTTATCAACCTTGACAAGGTGGAGGACGTTCCAAGTCAACACCTTTTTGTCTCCTCCCTCCTCTCTCCTCTCACTCGCCAGAATTATGATTTTCTTGTTTCAGTTCACCCCATTTCTCTTTGCTCTGCATTGGGCCTGACTGTTCCTTTCCCTCATGGGGGACCCCAACTGGCTCCAGTGAAGAGCTGCCCTGGATGGCAGCACAGACCTCCCCGCCATACGGGCCATCTGGCCGATGGCAGACTGACACTGTGACTTCACTGGGATGACAGATCTCAATATACCAATCAAATCCATTTGATTCAATGTCACAAGGAAGGTTGGATAAAAAACACAATTCACTACATTAGTTGGAAAAATCTCTGCAGTTTGGGGAGTGGAGGGGTGTAACTCAGTTGCATCTCCTTCCTCCCATCGCTGCTACAATAAGAATCTCTAGAAATGACTCCTCCCACCCTCTTCCTCTTCTCTGATCTGGGTAGCAGTATTCCCTACAGTATCCTGATTAAAGCTCTGCAAATAATCCTCACGAGTGCTAAATTCTCCCCCTGTCTCCAGGGACACTTATTATCAGTGTAGGACATACTGATGGAGCAATGACTCACCCAGACCCAAAGTGAAGTCTGGGAATTGACTATGTGAAACATCACCTCATTCTCCCTGCTGAGCTCTGCTGATGAAGACTTTACATCTGGTGTGGAGAAAGGATGTGGCCTTTCTATCCAGACCAGACATTCCCAGAGGTCCCTTTCCCCAGGTTTGTCTCCTGGCAACAAGGTCCAGCCCTTCATGCTATGAGAGGGTCCCATCTTCAGGCTAATAAGGATCATTTTGCAAACCTCCCGCAGGGATGACTATTGGCCACTCAGAGGGCTTTGGACCAAAGAAGGAGTGATAGTCAGATGGCATCAAAATCATCTGTTGGTGAGATACAAGTTAACTAGCAAATTGTATACAATTTAATAGCCAATGAACACATTAATTATCTACAGTAAATTGAAACAATTTGCTAAATTGATAGAACTATTAACTGGTATACTGGCTCTCGGATTAAAGGGCATGCCGGGGCCTTATGAACAGGTGATTAGATAGGTACCATATAAAAGCATAGGATTCTTTAGCTTGTTCTTAATAGAAATGAGTGTTAGAAAACAGAACAATGACATTTTAAATTATCAATGTTACAAAAACAGGGCACATCTTCTTTTAAAGAGATTAAAGTCATAAAAATGTTTTTAAAAATTATAGAACAATAACTGTAAATATCTTCCATGTTTTTATACTCATTATGTACCAGTTGGTCCATATCATCCCCATTTCTAGAAGATTCTTATGCTCAGGCTTACATTAGAACCCCAAGTCCAGTCAGGGCAAATATCCCTAACACCACATGCTTGCTGGGCACCTGTGCTACAACTCTGTCAAGGGCATTACCTGTCCCATCCATGATGTCTGAAGGTTGGAGCACCTCGTATGAGCAGGGATCCCTGGGCATCGGGACTGGCTCCATTTCGGACAGGGCAGGCAGAGACAGCTGGCTGGCGCTCAGGGACTGTCCATTTTCCAGGGAGTCATCTTCATTTGATATGGAGAGCTCCCCATCTGTCAGAGGGAGAAGGAGAGTGCAGAGTTAGACGATGCCTGCCTCCTAGGGAAGGGTGACATTTATAGCCTGCTAACTGAGTTAAGATGTTTTTGAAAAAGCTTTACCAAGATCAGTACGTAAAGTCTACGCTTGTTCTTTTGCTTTTAAAACATTTATTTTTAGAGGTATAACATTTAACCACCAGGACAACAGTTTCCCATGACCTTTAGCAATTATCTGTTTTCTCTTCATCTCTCTAACTGTAATCTGTCTTTATTTTTTTTTTAATGAAAATGAACTAAAATAATTTTTTCTTCATCATTTTTGAAAAGTTGGGAAAACTGAGCAGGACTCAGAGATTGGAAAACCAAGATTAGAAATTCCTACTTTGAGTAAAGTGTGCCGTATCACTTAACGAGCGCCAGGACAACGGTATTGCAAGGTCACAGGAAAAAAATTCATCTTGTCTTCTCTTTACCTCTGCCCAAATCCCAGCTGAAGGGCTGCAGCAGCTCCAGGAGGCTGAGAAGAGCTCAGCAGCGATCACTCCACCACGTGGGTGGCAGATTCTGGTCTTGCTTAAAGCTCAGCAAAGCAAGGGGCAGCTAGTTAACACCCTGATGGAAGATCAAAGGCTCCTGCACAGTGGCCATTTGTCAAATCAAAATCCCCCAGTGTGATTTCATCTTAGCCCAGGGGAGTCCTACATAAGTAGACATTAAGGTCAAATTAATTTTTAAAGAGGACTGAAAGCTGTTCCAGTCAAATGAGTAAATATCTAGATGAAAGACTAGGTGACGCTTAGTCAGAAATACAGAAACCGGCAAAGCAATTATCTGCCTTAAAACTGGAAGAAAGATGATTTACTTGGAAAAAAATGGCTCCAAGATTAATCTTGGATAAATAATCCTTTCTTTTTGCTATGCTCCTCTCAAGATTTTAATATTATACATAATGATATATGGTGACAAATAATCCTCCGCCAGACCCCTTCCCCCCAGTTAGAACTGGCTCGATGAAACGTATGTTCAACAAAGTAAGCTACAAATGAACAGGTTTAGGTAGCATATGGTTCAAGGGCATATGATATTTGACCTGCGCCTTCTATAAACATAGAAAAAATATAATGAATACCAAAAAATCATCTGAAGCAGATAATATAAAGCACAGACACTTGAAGATTGCGTATTTTCTCTCTTTCTTTTTTTCATTTGGCCTTTTTGTATGCCCCAAATGGTAGCAGTACTTATTATAATTGTGATTAGCAGCAGGATCACTACTCCTCATTAGTAAGAGAACAAGAGCAGTGAGGACTGTGAGACCAGTGCCATGGAGAGTACACAACTGAACGGCAAGTCTTCAGCATGGGAAAGGCTGCGGTGTGAGTGTCACTGCATCACCACCCCATAATGCATGGTCCCCATTCCCCTTAACACGCTTGAATATAGCATGTTCAAACTGATGCTGCGGGAAGTAGCTCTGCTTAAAGTTCCCAGTCAGCTGCCATTCAGTTTAATAAATCTCTAGGAAACCACCTTGATTTCTGATGTTCTAAGTGTAATAAAAGTCCTGGATAAAGTAACCAGAAGAGGAGTTTCAATGGTATTGCCAAGCTCTGCTTCTTTGGGGGTAAAAATGCAATGGAATGATTGCTATACATTTAAACAGTTAGAAGTACCACGGAAGCGACATTGGGAAAAAGATACAACTGCAGATGGATTACTTTAGATTCTTTTCGTGAACCTTAGTTTCACCAAGGCAGCCGGCTTAGTGCCAGAGGCTTCGCTAGTGACAGAGTACAGCAGTATTACTCACTCCTCTTGGGACTATAAACTTTCAAAAAATGTAGCTCCTTATGAATTAAAAGTACCTTTGCTAAGTTACAAAGGCCCAGACCACTTTGAAGAGGAAACAATCTTGGGAATTCCACTGTCATAATTTCTAAATACATGTTTCCATTGAAAAAATAAAAATAGGAGAAAAAAAGAAATAAGACACTGATCAAATTGCCACTCTAACAGATAGTTCCTTTTTCTGCACATATTTTTCATGTTTGTAATCTTACTATGTATCAAATTTTGTCTTTTTTTTTTTTTTTACTATTATAGTATTGTAATTTGTAAAATTATTATCTTGGTGATTATATTGAGTAAATATACTAACGTTTATGTAGCTATCTCTCTATGGTTAGACAAAAAGAAATTTCAAATGTTTTACGTTATGATGAAAAAAGAAAGTTCTGCTGGCCACCTTCTTGTGGAAAATCTTTTCTGCAGTTAGAGTTCTCCTCTTTAGAAGAGATGCCAATAAATCAAGTTTGTATCTATTAATAATTTAATGTCTAGTGACACATATCTGGATCTTGTGAAATTGTTTTTCTAAAGAACTTTTCTATTTACACAGCAGCTATGTACAGATCACACAGTTTTCTTAGCTTTTGGTCACTTCTCCATCATTAACATGAATAACCATGTTTTATCTATCTATCTACATACATGTGTGCATGTATATATGTACATATATACATATCTATATATGTACCTATATGTACATATCTAGTAGAATAATTAAAACCATTCAGTGGGTACAACAAATTCATTACTAACGTCATTTATGACAAAGATTGACAGTGACAAAAGTTAAACCATTTGATTTGGATTCATATACATGGGGATAGAGTGATACTGTCTTTGTTAAGTAACTGTTATTTAAAAAATTTTATGACATTTTCAAACATACACAAAAGTAGAAAAATTAATGTAAGGAACCCCACATACTCAACATCAAGCCAAGAAAATAGCTGGGAATTCCTAATGTTTGGTAATTCCAAGTGTGATTAACTCGAAGACTATTGAGGGTCTCCATGTCATTAAGCTATTTACCAGAACCGTGTATCAGCACCTTTACCAGCATTATTTTAAAAGCATTATCAGAAAAACATTGTTTTTTTCCAGGAAGAATTTAACCTTCCTGATTAAGATGAGCCTTATGGATTATTTGTACCTGCATTTAGATCATCACCACCTCTTGTTATTATGGATGAGGAAGAGTTCATTGAGTACTAGAAATTATTTTGCTTTACATGATCCAAAATTATCTGTAACAATGGTTTTCAAAATGGCATACAATGACCTCCAACTATACGACATGCTCTACTAGAATTAGTAAATTGTGAATAGGTGGAAGGGAGAAGGCAGGAGAAGAGAATGGATGGGTTGAAGCAGTGGTTCTCAAACTACAGTGAGCATCGCAATTCTCAGGGTGGGGTGGGGGGAAGTAGTTAAAACACAGATTCCTGGGCCCCACCCCCAGGGTTTCTGATCCAGTAGGTTTCTAACATATTGAAGCTGCTTTTGCTGGTCAGCGTTCCTCAATTTGAGAATCACTAGGTTAGAGAGTCAAGAGAACCTGGAATGGCAACAGTGCCTTCTCATGATGACCCATAGGGCAGGAAATGCTGTTTATCTGGCTAACATGGAAGAGAGATGGTTGGTTTAAACCTCAGAGAGGACAATAAAAGTACTGTCCAACCATGGATCATGAACAAAAACTTGTTACAAAAGACAGTGGGACTGGAGAGAGCAGTAAGGTGGAGTGGAAGTAAAATGTGAGTCAGATGCAGACATATCTAACAAGGTAAGATCAGGTTACAGAAGTGGGAGAGAAGAGAATGCAGAAGTAGATCTAAGATATAGTAATGGCCATGGACGTTGTGTCAGCCTTATTCTTCTCGTGAGGCATAAGAAATGAAGACTTTGGTAGAGTCTAGTTAACGCCAAATTACGGAGAATGAAATGAAAGATAAGAGTGAATTAATTCACTCAATTGATAAACACCTGTTGAGAGACTGTAATTAATATCATGTATCATACACAAGAAACTGCCAACCGTCACGATAAACTTGTGAGGAAGGCAGACATTTTCCATTAGCTCCTTATGATACACGTAGAAACTACTGATCAGTTTGCCGCCTCCAAAGCCCTGTACACCGCACCCTGCTCTGCCTCTTCTCCCACAGCCAGGCAGGCATTGTGCCAGATGTCAAGGAGAAAATAGGCATGCCGTGGAGCAAGATATGATAAAGAAATGCAGAAAAGCAGACACAGAGAGGAATTACTGTGAGCTGTCTGATTGTGAGAGTTGGGAAAAAGAAGCCATAGTGAGAAGTTAAACCCTGAGAAGTGGAGGAAGAACAATAAGGAGTGAAGGAAGATAGAAGGCATGTACTCAGAATAGATGGAGACCACATCATACTAGGGGAGGATCTTGTCTTGCATAGAATTTTAAAGATATTCTAAAAGTGTAATTTAGGTAAAAGTTGTGTTCCACAGGATTGGTCTAAATGATACATTAAATTTTTTGTTTGTTTTGGTTTGTTTAGAAGTTGCATCTACCTATAACCAGGTGTCACTTTGTGACTATATTCCAAGTGATTTTTAAAAACTGTTGTTTTGTTATTGTTTATTTTGCTTTAGGAATACTCTCTAGTTTTAGGGTGATCAACATCAATTTCTGATCAATTAAATTTTCTCAAAGCTTAAGGTTAACTGAGTATTTTTTTTTTCTATAGATGAATATCACCATGGAGAATGGGCAACTAAAATTCTTTCAGGTTCTCGTAGATACCTATATAATAATAGTTTCTACTTTTAAAAAATTGTATGAAAGACAGACGTTTTGTTCTAAGTGGGCTTCATGATACTTTGAAGGTTTAGATAAAAAGTATTAATTTTAATGCTGAAAAAGAAAAGCTCTATAATATAAACTTGAGCTCACCACTGAATCTGGTTTTCTAGAGTATGTCTTATGGTTTATACAGAAACCTATGTTTAAAAATGTATTTGTAGTTGGACAAGAACTCATTATTTAATAAATAATAGTTGAATACGAGTACAACATATTTCTTTATATCTATACATTGAACCATTACTGCAATAAACTACACAGATAAAACAACTAAAAATAAAACTTCAAAACTAGACTAAATAGTATAAAAAATGTACTGAACACTCACACA